ATATATATATATATATATATATATATATATATATATATATAGTTTTTGTTTGTTTTTTTTAGCAAAAAAGTACATTTTAGCACGGACTTTTATTGTGTGGAATGGCTGAAAATGTAAAGCGTCCCTTAAAATTTGCGCAAAAGAACATGTGGGTTGCCAAGGTGCAAACCACGTTGTTAAACAAAATTATATTGTTTGACAAAACCTTACAGATCATTTTATTTAATTTTATTTCAAATTGTAATTTTATTATATATTTATATTTTACATTATCGGCAAGAACAGCTCATACAAAATGATTCTTGTTGCATATATCACTGGCACCAATACAGAACCAGTATAAACAGGGTTTTTATTTTTTGTTTTGTTATGTTTTGTGTTGTTGTTTTTTCCCCCTGTCCATAAACACAAATTGTGTATTTACGTCTTTATCTGGCACCAAAATTATTTACTCGTTTTATGGTTTTAACCCAGGAAAATTATTTTATGCGGACAATCTGGCAACCCATACACTCCAGTTCCCTGTTGGTGTGAGGTGGTACAGTGAAGGAACGATGGCTGCCTGCATCAGAGTAATATGGAGGAGAATGACCACCTTGACAGTCGCTATCCATAATGGGTCTGCTCTCCTGGACGCTTTCTTTGCCAAAACACACTAATTCCCCTGTTTCGTCCCATCTGTAGAGACCAAGTGTTGTGTTTGCATCAGTCTGCTTGCTAGCTCCGCGCTATGTTTCTACCCACATCAACTCTCTTTAATTGACCTGACCGGTGAGTAGCTAACGTTAGATGGATATTCACCGTTTCATAACGCAAATACGAATACAAGCTCTTTGAATGTAAATGAAAGCGAAGTAAGCTCATTAGGCAACCTAGATGTTTAGTTAGCTGGCTTTGCTTGTACTTAGCTAACATTAGCAATTTGCTTCCTTGATTGTTGCTGGTAAAGGTCAATATGGCAAACTGGGTGAAGCAAAAAACTATTATATAAATGTATGGATCATATTAAACCTAAGAACAGGACATTTGCAAATTATGCAAATAACAATAGTGTCCAAGGACTTTGCATGGATTCCTTCAGTACCTTCAAACATAGCTTGGCTTAATTTGTTTTAGGTTTCTATTTTGAAATGATGGATTAATGCACACCCTTTTCCCCTCTATTCTTTCTCTCTTTAGATATCACTCATAACATGGCCATCACACAGTTTCGCCTTTTTAAAATATGCACCTGCTTGGCATCTATTCTGTCATTCTTGAAAAGACTGATTTGTAGGTGAGTACAAAACTCTTTTGTTCAATTTCGTGCATATTCGTTTTGTAGATTGTCAGTCTGAAGTCATTTGACATAGGTGGATCCGGAGATAAATTTGTGTCCCTTACAGATGTGACGCTGAGTTTCGTCTGTTGTCTTTTGTTAATGTAGGGCTGGAAGGTCACGCAAGCTAAGCGGGGATCAGATCACCCTTCCGACCACAGTTGATTATTCCTCTGCATCAAAACAGGTTAGAGAATGCATCGTGCTGGAGACTCTGTCATGAATATTTGCCATGGGGATTGGTTGAGAAGTGGGTCTTAAGAAAAATATTTTGCATAGAGAAAGTAACTTTTTAGAGCAATTTCATATAATGCTTTTTCAAAATAAAAATATATTGTTACACAGCATTATGTTTTAAATAAATTCTGTTCCTTTGAACATATTATTTATCAAAGAATACTGACAAAATGATGTATTACAGTTTCCACAAAAATAGTAAGAAATAATAAGAAATGTTTTTCTTTATGAGCAACAGGATCATGTGACTGAAGACTGGAGTAATGGCTGATGAAAATTTAGTTTTGCCATCACAGGAATAAATTACAGTTTAAATTATATTAACAATTTCAGAATAGTACCCTTTTTTTAAACTTTTTGATAAAAATACTTTGGAAGCATAAGAGACTTCTTTCAAACATATTACAAAATTGTCTTTAAAATAATGTCCTAACCTTAATAGTGGCAACAAAAAAAATCTTTATACAGTTTTGATCATCGTATTTTTGTTTTTATTTTAGGAGAAGATATGTTTCTTGACAGATTTTGTGAGGTTCACCTTATTACGAATTTTAGAAATGATATGCTTTTATATTGTACTTACTATGTTTAAGAATAGATATGAACATTTGCATCAAAAGCCGCATTTTTCATTGATACTGTTGTAAGTCACAATTTCATACAGTATGTAGATTAAGTATTCCTCGCAGTAAGAAATGAAAGAGCTTTTCGAAACCAAGCATGTCCGAATGATTAAATTGTCATGGAGGTCCTTTACAAAATAAAAAGCCATGCATTTTTATGCATCTATGAGAATGACAAAAATAAAGCACTGTCACAATGAAACTGGACAGATGACTATTAACTACTAATGACCTTTGCTTGATGAAATGAGTGAATGTTTGTTTTATAATTGAATTCAGTTGGAGATTGAGGAGTGGAGCTCATGGGATGAGGAAGCTCCCACCAGTATCAGAATTGAAGGTGGTAACGGGATAGTTCCACCTCCACAGAATGAAGCTGAAGAAGAAGAGCCAGACTACTTCAAAGACATGGCTCCCACCATCAGGAAAACACAAAAGGTAGGTTCATTATTCGGCTGCCTGTTCATTGTCATTTCTTTCTTTCTCTCTATCTTCTGTCCTAGTTTTTAATTATTTTTATTCTGTCCTATAGTTTTTATATTTTATGTTTTTACATCATAGTAACTCTCCCTCTCTTGCTTTCTCTCTTAAAAACATAACCTTTTTTGCAATTTATAGTTAGGGCGAGTGGAAATTAAAAAAGGGACAAATATTGTTAAAGCAGTGCAGTGGTAGTGCTGACCTTCTCAGTCCCATTTTTGTGTAATATGCAATATCATTCAAACGTTTGGAGTCAGTAAAATTTTTATTTAGCAGGGCTGCAATAAATTGATCAAAAGTGATAAAGACATTTTTTGTTTTAAATTAAAGGCACAATATGTAAGATTTTTAAATTAAAATATCCAAAAACCACTAGAACAGTGTTATATATTTTGCTGACTTGTGTACTTACATTATCTCAAATGTTTCGAAGAATGTTTAAATCCAGAGAAATAAGCAATTTTAACTAGTGACACGGACTGTGTCTATAGTGTCATTGTGTTGCCTGCCAAGGACGTCATAACCCTTCGATTTCCTTTTTTTTTTTTTTTTTTTGTAGAAAACATGAAAACACCAAAGACGCTTTAATATGTTGTGCGTTTTATTAGACCGGTGACGACCGCACAGAGTAGCATTATAACAGAATGTTCAAATGTATCTAGTATGATAAAACAGCGCTGCTTCCTTCCGCTACTTTCAGGAAGGAGCGGAAGCAGTCGACTGTGGCATAATAAAAGCTCCGCTGCTTTACCCCACATACGCACGACCGGAAGCAGCGGAAGCGTGAAGACGACAACTCCCATGATTCCACACTCAGTCACGGCGTCATCTAACTACGCCTTTGTTTCTTTGTTTGTTTTGAATACGCGCCCTCGAGTGGCAAAAATTACATATTGTGCCTTTAATTTCTATTTCAAATAAATCTGTTCTTTTGACATTTCTATTCAGCAAAGAAGCCTGAAAAAATGTCTCACAGTTTTCAACATTAATAATAAGAAGAATTTCCTGAGCACCAAATCAGCATAAATCCTTCAGATTTCTGAAGGATTTCTAAAATAATCATTTCATTTGCAATTTGTGCTCTTTTTCCAGATTGTCTTGAAAAAAAGGGAACCTCTGAATCTCTCTATGCCAGACAGCTCTTCAGGTTTCTCCAGCCGACTAGCTGCCACTCAGGACATGTCCTTCATCCAGCCCTCTGTGAGTGATACAGTCTAACAATGATAATCACAGTTATTGGGAGGCCAATTAACACTTTCAGCAAAAAAAGATTTATTGGGAGTCCTCCAACTCCACCAAATCACATCACTTTAATATGTTGGATCAAATGGTATGATGATCAGAAAACACAATGTCTCTGTGTGCTGCAGTCGGAGCTGGGGGACCTTGACACCTGGCAGGAGGACACCAATGCCTGGGAGGATGAGGCAGATGCAGCCTGGGAGGCAGAGGAAGTGCTGAGGTAAGCTACCTTACCAGCTGGCTATGAGGTGATCCTGTACAACATAAAAATGTTTCTGGTTCTGTTTGTTTCCTTTGATATCTGCAATATTAAATCACTTAAGTCACTTAAGTTTTTTTAATTAATACAGGGTCAACTCATTTTGAGGGAGAATGTGGTGGGTTTCTAATTTTGTCCACTAGGTGTCAGTGTACAAGCACAGTTGTTTTAATCTTGATTAAAGGGATAGTTGACCAAAAAAAGAAAATTCTGTCATCATTTACTCACCCTTATGTCATTCCAAACCTGTGTGCATTTCTTTCTTCTGTGGTACATCAAAGACGATATTTTGAAGAATGTTGATAACAGTTTCAGTTCCCATTGACTACCATTGTGTGGATAAAAAGTACAGTGGAAGTACTGGGAACCGGAAATGCTTGGTTTCTGGTCACTTCAGGTTTGGAATGACAAGAAGGTGAATAAATGATGACAGAATTTTTTTTCATTTTTGGGTTTACTTTGATCTATCATATAGCATCATATTTGAAAGGGTATGATTTTTGGGTGTATTTACAGACCGCATACAATAAAGCAGATTACTGATTTAAATTAAAAATATTTCTTAAAACTTACCATAAATGCGATGAAATTGATCTTTCTTTGTCTATCGTGAACACAGGCAGCAGAAGCTGGCTGAGAGAGAGAGACGTGCCATAGAGCAACAGAGGAAGAAAATGGAGAAAGAGGCACAGAGAATGATGAAAAAAGAGCAGAAGATTGCTGTCAAACTTTCATAACATTAATACAGTGCACCGGACACTCAAAGCAACAGCCAAACAACTGTTCATATTACATTTGACCTGGTTTTGTCCTGCCCCCACCATACTACTGTCTTCACCTCTTTGGGATATTTTTTAGTCCATCAGCCATATTAGGGATTTTTTTATGTTTATTTCTTTGGGTTTTCGTTTTGTATTGGACTGAACACAGCACAAAGAATCTTCCCTTTTGTTTTTGAGGTATTGTGACTGTTCTTACTGTGCGCTTGATGAAAGAAAAAATATGTTTGTTTTTTTCTGTCAGTATTTATAACACTTGAATGATTTGTCCAGAACAACATTTTTTTTTTTATCATGGGCTTAATTGTGAATAATCCTTCAAGACCTTATATTTTAATCTTGATTTTTCCAAAGACAAAAATTTGAGTCAAGGAATTAATAATTGTCCGTGTGAATGGAGAGCAGAGATATTCAGTATGTACTGAGGCTCAAAGAAAGCGCTTTTAAGAGATGTGGGTTGGTCATCATGGAAACGCTGAAATTTTTTAAATATCCAAATTGGCAACCAAACCATCTTTTATCTTTAGTAAGACTGTTTACTGAGGAGAGCATTGACTAAGAGAAAAACATTCACAATTTATTTTAAAGCAATTTCACCAGGGGAACGACTTGTCTTTTGCTATTAAAGAATTGATTTTCTCTTGAATATAAATTGATCATGTTTATTGATAAAATGAGGATCATGGTGGTGCTGAAATTAACTTCTGCATGCTGTGATTATTAAGGAACATGAAGCCATGAGAGCCACAGGTACAGATAATGAAAAACTGAATAAAATCACACCTTTTGCTGTGATTTATGTTTCCCGCTCATGCCTTTTTAAGTTGTTTTTACCATTTTTCACAGTGCATCCTTAGCTGTAATAAACATTTCAGTTATCTGTTCAATGGTTTATTTTATTCGGAGGCTTTCAGAATCTTCTGTCATTTCTTCACCAAAAACATGCTCTTCGTGCCGTGGTAAAGATGACGTCTTTGGGTCTCTGAACATAATCAGCAATACAAGACTTTATTCGATCTGTTTGTACCCAGACTGTTAAGAAGTTCAATCAGCATCACAGAGCTGTCTCTGGAATACATGTGCTTTTATTTGTGATATTCAAGGTCAGCGCATTGCCCGGACCGGTGGAATATTCCAGCTCTGAGAATGTGATGTCATAATCCCCATCTGCCTCAGCAACGCCCCCCCAGTCGACCAACTCTCCCACAGCTTGACCCACTTAGACAGAGAGAGGAAAACAAATCATGACTGAATTAAACATTACATGCTGTCTTCTGCAGCTATGCGCATCTTTATCACACCTGACTTTATGGGTTTCACATGAGTTTGTCTCTGTAAGGAAGATTCTTGGACCATGTTCATTAAATAAAATGTATATGTTCATTAAATAAAGTGTATATAAACACTGTTCAAAGATTTTATGCACCAAAAATACATTGAGGGAAAAATGCCTCAACAATATCATATTAACACTTTTACAAGACATAGTCTGGAACAAAGCTAAAAGCTAACTGTAGTGTCCAACTGGGCTAACGGTACATAACGGCAAGCATTTGCTCAGTCTTGCCATTTCATGCATGCAGGGTTGTATGTTATGCAATAGTCAAGTCCCATCTGGTAACAGATGTACTGTGTGTTTTTCAGGCGGCCCAGGGGTCCACACTTGCTGCGTAATGGTTGCTTTAGTCTCAGCTTCTGAATATAGCAGTGTTGATGTTCATACACTCCATATATTTTGTATGACATAAAATGTTTTTGGGTTCTTGTGCGTGTGTGTGTTTGGGTACCCAGCAGGTCCATTAATGAAGCATTAATGCACTTTCGGCTGTTGCTGCCTACAGGATTTCTCTTAAAACATATCGAAGTTTAAAACCTCTTTGTTTCGTCAGTTACGAGCACTTTTATGTGTTAGAGCAGGAGTGTCAAACTCGGTTCCCGGAGGGCCGCAGCCCTGCAGAGTTTAGTTCCAACCCTACTCTAACCACACATTGCATGTAGTTTTCAAATAAGCCTGAAGGGACCTGATTAGCTGGATCAGGGGTGTTTAATTAGGGTTGATAAACTCTGCAGGGTCCTCCAGGAACTGCGTTTGACACCCCTCTCTTAGGGTCATTTTTTATTTGGTCATAACTTTATTTATTTATTATATGAAGGTCACATAACCACTGTAGTGTAAACGTCTTACCCTGATTCTTTTTTGCTACTTTTCAAATATTTTTTACCTTAACAGACTTTAAATATTAAAATCCATCATGGAAAACTTTAAAATAAGAAGGTGAAATATCCCTTGTTTTCACACTTGAAATATTCTAAACCCCGGGTGAATACAATTTTGGGTTATCTTGCTTCACATTTGTTTTACACTGCTCATAATTCACCAGGGGTTAAAAATAATCAATGGGTTATCGTTCTTATTTGCATATTTGTGCTGTCAGTGTCATTGATTGGACGAACTCTCGGAACCTGCATTATATTATATATTACCAATTGTACTATCAGCTTTTTCCTGAATGGTTTTTTCTGAATATAAAGTAATAATGAAATGGTGACGCATGTTTTTGTGTCACAGCAAGTGAAACATTAAATATTTTCGTTCACCTTCCATAATGAGTTCATGAAGATTTATTTACATTTGTTTTGCATTTTCTGCACTAATTTAAAGGTCAAATCTGCAGTATCCTTACAAAAAAAATACTGTTCTCCTTTTGTTAGTTGAAAGCATTATCAAATTACCAAAATGTTTAATAGGCAAATACACAAATGGTGGAGGATTTGTATCACTTTGTAAATGTCATTCATTCAAATTCTTTAGGGCACTGATTTAGTGTGGGCCTAGACAAGTAATTCAAGTTTAGAAATTATGCAATACCTTCCCTATGCTCTAACACGCAATAAAAGTCCAAACTTGGAGGGGTTTTCCATGCTTTAATAATAATAAATATAATGATATACATCTGATATAAACAAAAATATTGCACATAGGTCAGGCACATAACAAGTGTTCGCTGTACTGTGGCAAGTGCTGCCATTCAGGAAAATGTTAGTTTACAGAGCAACATGTAAAAGCTCTAACTCCAGGGAGAGAAATACAGTTTCACTTAACAAAACGCTGAACACATGTAAGCTTTGGCAGAAGGTTTTAGTTCTTTTGGAACACATGTGACATTTTAACTACAACAAAAATGACGACCAACTGACAGTCAACCCCTACTGTCACACTAAATGACTCTTTTATAAAAAGCAGGGAATAGCAGTCAGCAAAGAACAAGACTCGAGCAACATAAATCACCTACCCAGATGATCAGATTATGCAAAAATATTTATATATACAAAAACAAAAGCAATAAATAACAAAAAAGACAAATCAAGTCCATTTATATCCCCTTAAATTAATCCTTTGTGCCTCAGATTGCAAAAATACACAGTGCAAAGTAGGAATGTCGCAACTAAACATTAAATAAGTGTATGCGTATAATCACAGGTGTACAAAAACACAATTTCTTCTTGAAAATGGCGTTTAAGTGCTCTTGTTGTAACTGTGGGTGAGGGCCACTAAGTGTCTGGCCCGTGAGAGACATGGCGGAGGGAGTGCAATCCCATAATGCAACAGCCTCGAATTAAAGCTGCAATGTTGTACACGGGAGCCCCTCCGACCAAACCGTGCTGCGAGTAGAGCCATGCCACGGTGGGCAGAACAGGTGCTGCCACAGCAACCAGATCAACCAAGAAGTTGTTGCTCCAGTGGCTTTTTCCCACCACTGCCATGCTAGAGGTGTTCTTGGGATTCTTCAGGTCGAAATTCAGCTCTTCCATGAACTGGGGACTCATTTGGGGCTCGGAAAAACCCAGACCGGAATCACTAACAGTGTTTTGGGCAGTATTGGTGCAAATGGGGCCAACATCTTTGACTTCATCGTCTTGTGCTTCAGGAAAATTCCCCTTATTTATGGGTTTTTGTGCTTCAGGCAAGTCCTCGACCTTTTTGGGAACCTGTGCTGAAGGTGATTCCTGGGATTGGTGGGGTGAAGAAATAAGAAGGCCATGGAAGCCACCACCTTGGAGCTTTAGCAGCTGGAAAAGGATGGCTTGGAGATCAGCGGTGTAAATCATCTCATCAGTCTGGACACTTTTATCTTCTTCACCAAAGGGGTCGGTTGAGATATGTCCCTCAGTGCTCTTTTCCAAGACACTCGGCTCCAAGATGGACAGTCCTGGTTGGGGAATGATCTTGGTGCCACCATCCTGGCTGGAATCAACTGCAGTGGACATGAGAACCTGCTCCAGAATCTCTTCTCTGTTGGCCATCTCATCATTGGCCAGCAGCTCGCTATCAGCCATCTCCTCCACTGCTTGTTCTTTACCATGTAGCTCCATCTCCAACTTGCCTGCAGCAGATCTTTCTGGAGACTCACAGATAAACTCCAGCAATGGCTCATCCTGCAAGTTGCAGCCATTCTGCGCCAACTCCATGCTGTGGAGCAAGGACTCCAGCTTTCGGTTTTGGATGTTTATGTCAATGAAATACTTCTGGATGCCCTTATCCTTCTCCATGAGGCTGTTCTTCATGGTTTCCACCACTTGCCGCAGCTGCTTGATCTCTTTGCGTGCTTCTTTAAGAGCTAGCTGAGCTTCCACACGGTGACATTCCTCCTCTATCCAGTCCTCCCGCATACGCCCCAGTTGGGACTTCAGCTCCTCAATCTCAGCCTCCCTGCAACCCATCAATGTGGAAAATGTACCATGTGATGTCAGTTTTCGAATTGTGTCAGAGCTCTCGAGGGAACAGCAATTCAGTAATGCATTAGGGCAAGTATTTCAAAGCAGACTCTTACCGGTCACAAACTGTGTTCTGTGAGTCTCTGAGTTTTGTCTTGAGGTGTCGTATGGCTACCTCTTTCTGCTGTAGAGGGGTGAGGTACTGCTCTGGATTGGGAGGCTTGATGCCATGATTGTCTCCGCAGGAATGGTAGCGTACAGGAGTGGTTCTTCTGAAAGTAAAAAGCAAGTTTACCTCTTTAAATCTGATGAAGCATGCCAATATTTAAGCTACAAAAAGAGCTGCAGTAATAAACTCTATGGGCCTGTTGTGTCTGTAACAAGTTACAGTTTCCATCCAAATGCAAAAGCTTCACTAATATGAAAAATGAAAAAAAAATAAAACTCTTTATAGTGACTTTATACAAGTCACCATAATAATAAAACACAACCAACCACACAATAGGGTAGAAAGGTAAATATTAATGTAATATTAATATTTAAAGAACATAATGAACTAAAGTGCAAAAGATACAAAAAAAGGAAAGTACAAATATATTAAAGTACAAGAGAAAGAAAGAAAAATAAGTTATGAAAGAAAAAAACATCAAAGCAATAGCCCTGTTACCAGGCAGTAAAACAAGAGGCACAATATCCTAGCAACCTGCTATGCTGCTTTAAAGTCAATTTTGCATCTGTGCCAGAGATGGAACAATGGAAGAACAAACAAGGACCCTGGAGAAGCTCAGACAGGCATTACAGAGCACACACATTCTGTGCTTAGATTTTTCTTTCTTTTTTTTTTTTTTAAATGGAGCAACATGGCAAAATGGAGATTGTGGGTAAAAAAAAAAAAAAAAAAAAAAAAAAAAAAAAAAAAAACAAAAAAACCA